CCAGAAGGTCACTGGGAGCACTGGGAGGGCACTGGGAGTCACTGGGAGCGACTGGGAGTTACTGGGAATTAGTGGGAGTTACTGGGAGAAAGTTGGAGGAGGCTGCAGTTCCCCAGTCGGCCACTAGAGGGAGAATGGGAGACACTGGGAGGGGACTGGGATGGACTGGGAGGGGACTGGGATGGACTGGGATGGACTGGGAGGGACTGGGAGGGGACTGGGAGGGGACTGGGAGTCACTGGGAGGGGACTGGGATGAACTGGGAGTTACTGGGAGGGAGTAGGAGGAGGCTGCAGTTCCCAAATTCGCCACTGGGAGGCGACTGGGAGGGGATTGGGATGGACTGGGATGAAATGGGAGGGGACTGGGAGCGACTGGGAGGGACTGGGAGTCACTGGGAGCTACTGGGCTAAACTGGGAGCAATACCAAATGTGGCCACCAGACGGCGCCAGCGAGTCAATACCCGCTCCCATTAACCCCTATTGATTTATCCTGACTTATACTGGTTTCTACTGGTTGTTACTGGTTGTTAGCGGTTTCTACTGGTTTCTACTGGTTTCAACTGGTTTCTACTGGTTTCCACCCCTACAGATCCTCCACTACAGCCCCGAGGAAGGCCAGTGGGTGACTCACTGGGCTAAACTGGGAGATACTGGGATGAACTTGGGAGTCACTGGGAGCTACTGGGATGGATTGGGAGCTACTGGGATGGATTGGGAGCTACTGGGATGAACTGGGAGTGACTGGGATGAACTGGGAGTGACTGGGATAGACTGGGAGTGACTGGGATGAACTGGGAGTGACTGGGATGACCTGGGAGTGACTGGGATAGACTGGGAGTGACTGGGATGAACTGGGAGCGACTGGGATGAACTGGGAGCGACTGGGATGACCTGGGAGTGACTGGGATAGACTGGGAGTGACTGGGATGAACTGGGAGCGACTGGGATGAACTGGGAGTGACTGGGATGAACTGGGAGCTACTGGGCTAAACTGGGAGCAATACCAAATGTGGCCACCAGACGGCGCCAGCGAGTCAATACCCGCTGCCATTGGTTTATACTGACTTATACTGGTTTCTACTGGTTGTTACCACTTTATACTGGTTTCTACTGGTTTCAACTGGTTTCTACTGGTTTCCACCCCTACAGATCCTCCACTACAGCCCCGAGGAAGGCCAGTGGGTGGCTCCGGGCCCGTTCTTTGACGTTCTGAGCTGGAACGGCTCGCGGGGCACGCGGGACCTGCAGGACCTGTCGGTGTGGCTGGCGGCCGTGGGCCGGGCCCACGCCGGCCACTACGTGTGCGGCCTGCGCAGGAACCTGACCTTCGAGGGCTACACCTACAGCCTGGCCAGGAACCAGAGCCTGCGATTGGCTGTGGTGGAG